AAAGTTGTACACAGTACGATTACGTGAGTACATGTGTATGTACATATCTGTGTTCATATGGAAAAGTAGCTTATGTCGAAAGGCTGGCTTTAGTATAATGCGGCATTCCCTTTATTCTTTAAACTACAAGGAATTTTTTGATGAGACTTAATACGAATATTGACTTGCTAGTATCGGAACTACTTCTTGCACGTTTATTTCCCAAAAGTTCTTCAACAACTCAGCGCCAGTAAGTCATTCGCAATCGTATGCTGTGAATGCCGATTTATACTAAAGCCAGCCTTTCGACATAAGCTACTTTTCCATACGAACACAGATATGTTCGCGTTTCAGAATAATCGGCCATTATATATTTTCGTGTATACTTAAATGTGTTTAACCAGACTGCATATATAGTTATTCACATATAAATTTACGTGGATGTTAAATTAAGTATCAATGGGACATATTTATAGTCATAATAAAGTCGGTTCTAAAGTAAGTTGTAGCTTTTTTGGCAAATGTTCCATTGAAAATTGTGCTGCTACACACTTTAGTGTCGACTTTTTTTGGACTATAAATACACCCCAATTATAAATATCATTAACAAATATTATGTATGTCGCACACGTTCTTCAAAAGTGACAACTCAAAATTTTTCATTTTGGAAATTATGCACTAAAAATGTACGCAGAGCTTTTATTTACCTTTCAGCAAAAGCTGGGGTAAATTTTTGTTATAATTTGCTGCAAAAACAAGGTAAAGTCTTCCTTGCCCATTTAATTAGCATGTGCTAAGATATAGTTTTTCGCATTTTCTGACGAACGTGTAACTTTGAGTTGTGTCTCTTTTGAAGACGGTGTGCGATGTACAAATGTGGTGTGCGGTTTATAACACCGGCACACAAAAAAACGGGGTGTGTGCTTTTAAGCAGACCTACCTACCGACATGTATTTCAACCTACTGAATCCGAACCTCCTAAATTTCGAGTAAACTACGAAAATACAAAAAAATTCGCAATTTACTTGAAATTTGGAGTGAACGAGTCAAACGGACTTCAGACTCGGATTCAGTGGGCCGAAATACATATCGGTTGGTGGGTCTGGTTAAAAGCACACACCACTTTTTTTGTGCCGGTGTAATTATACTGTTATATACACACTTTCAGGATCCAGCACCTCCAAAACGTTGTAGGTCATCTAGCACAAGCCAGAATCCTGAGGTATGGAACCGTTTCAGTACTATTTAAAAAAAACAAGAAGACTTGCTGGAAAACCGCAGGCGCACAACCAACAGCTCACCTTACACACAAGCACTATCCACTTTTGACTGGTTGTTAAATCAGCTTCCACGGTCTATTGGCGATGACATTTGCTTAACAATTAATAGCATTCTTTTACAGAAAGTGGAAGAACACAAAGCAACAATTAATTAAGAATAAATAGCATACTTTTACAGAAAGTGGAATAATTTCAAGCAACAATTAGTAGCATACATCATGTACGGATATATATTTTTATTAGTTTTGGCTTTTATTCTTTTGTTTCTTTAATATTTATTAATTTTTACAATAGTCTAGTTCATTATTTGTATAACATCATATACATACATCCACATTTCAAGCTTTGTACAAAAATGAGAAAAATTCACCAAATTTTCATCAGAATTTCAATCTTAATAATTTTTGTACAAAATTTTAAATGTGGATTTTCTATGATGTTATACATCAAGGCGCATCCATACAAGGTGGTCTCAATTGAATATAAGTAAAAATCCAGTGTGTTTTGTTATTGCTTTTTGGTACATCAGGATGTCAAAACGAAAGAAAATAGGAGATAATTTTCGCCCTTTCGTTTTGTTGACATCCTGAAGTTACACCATTTCGTTTTGTTGACATCCTGAGGTTGCACCATTTCGTCTTGGATGACATTCTCCTGTACTAGTGTAGAGACAAAAATATCCAATCAGCTGTTC